CTTATGGGGACAGCCAAGAAAAATAAATCACACTCCTGGTTTGGCTGCTTTGCAACAACCAACCATTTCAAGTCAAGTAGAATTGTGGCTAGCTACAAGCTTAGTTTTCTTTTGAATACTTTATGCGTGCTACAAAAAATAGTTCAGTTATTCATCAATACTCTGGAGTTGCAATCCTCAATAAACAACATTAAGTGAAATTTGCAAAATCTGGACTGGCAGGTGTCTGTCAGTTGCAGTTTTCATTTTTTAAAACCTAATCTGTCACGGTACATGCTCGATAAAACAAACAAACAAAACAATTGTATCTTGTTGGAAACCCTTGAGTCAAAGTGGGATATATTTATGATTTAGGAATATCCCCAGAGACTGCTAGCTGCTCCAAATGCTAAAGAAAGACGACATCCTATTTTACTCAAAGCAGCCTCATTTCACTCAGAAGTGTGGTCTCTGCTGCCACACTTATATAAATAATTAAGGTCGTTCATTAGGAAGGTTCATTATGCCGTATAGTTTTAGTAACAGCTTACAGTATGTCAATTTGTTCCTCCCCAGTTTCAGCATATAAGTAGATTCCACCTTTTTAAGCTACTTTTAAAAATGCCTGTGGGAAAAAAAAAACATATTAAACATATAGTTCTGATTTTCTAACCAATATTAGCATTAAAAGCTTATTTATTACCTCTTATAATGTGTTAAAAATGTGTTAGTAACACATAATAGCTGTTCAGTGGCCTTTAGATGCAAAATTAAAAACGCCAAAAAGTCATCTAACTGAGAAGCCAGTAACAGACATTACATTTTGTCAAATGCCTTCTTCAAAATTATTGATATACATCAAATATGGTGGTCAATTTAGCAGTGATTATGGGTTGAAAGCAACTCTAAACAGATGAATTTTTAACCTGGATTTAAAGGAACTCAGTGTTTCAGCTGTTTTGCAGTTTTCTGAAAGTTTGTTCCAGACAAGCAGTTAACATTACATTTTGTCATCAAGCAAAAACACATCAAATATGTTATTCAGTGTTCCAGTTATTATGAACCAAAGGCAACTCTAAACAGGTGGGATTTTAGCCTTGATTTAGACAAAGTCAGTGTGTCAGCAGTCGTGTGGTTTTCCGGAAGTTTGTTCCACATATTGGAGACTGAATTCTACTTCTCCATGTTTGCTTCTGGGGATGCAGAGTAGAGTAAAAATTAAGTGTCTTTGCACCAACATACCCATCAAAATCAGCTGCAAGGTGGAGTTTGCTTGCGCTCTGCGTACCCGACTAAAAGGAACCAGTCCCACCTTCACTTTTCACAGTTCCCTTCCTGTCTTGAAGCTCTTTCATGTCAAATTCAGCAACTGATAGAAGAAATGGGGAAAGATTTAATCATAGACTTTTTTATGCCACTACCAGCTAAAGAACACGGGGATGGAAGGTACATTGTGAACATCTCTTTCATTTCCAGTGATAAATTGTGCGGCTGAAAGCCCCCCGGGTGACGCTTCCAGCATTGGTTTCAGCCTGTTTTCATTACACCAGAGGTCGTCATCGCCTCTGTTCCCCTGAAAATGATGCTGTCACATCTATAATGTCTTGGACCATTTCAAACCTCACTGCAGAATGAAATCACAGCCTCTTAGGATACCTTACGCACTGTTCCCATTCACAGTGAGCAATCTGACATGAACTTTATCATCTTCCTGAGGGACCAGTTACCGCACTTGGGCTCACAAACAAACAGGCCTGTGTGCGAATGTGTGAGATCAATATCTAGATTTACTGCTGAGTTAACAGAGAGGATTTAGAGTGAGCTGAATATCAGCAATGATGGATTCCTCTTTATCTGTTTATGGACCGGAGAGCAGAGTTAATGGCTTTGACACGTAGCTTTTAATTTCATAAGATTTCTGTGAATTCTGAGTCCATCTATTAGTTCTGACACTGGGGTGAAAATGAAAGTGTATCACATCTGTCATCACCGGTAAATCTAACTGATATTTACGACGTACAATGGAATGAATTGAATGGCATTTATTGTTAAGAATTCAGGATTGGATAAAGAAGTCACAACTTAATGCTTTATTAAAGTCAGTGCACCTTTGTACAGGTCTTTGAAAAAGTATTCACTCCTTAATTTATTTCATGTTTTGATTGGGAACCAAAGTCAAAATGTTTGTTACATTTCCAGCTGGTGCGGTTTTCTTTCACCCTGAACTGTTTTCCTCTCCTCACCTGTGGTGGCGCTGAACCAAGAACCAAGCAACAGAAAAACCTCTGAAGAAGAGACGAAGTGGCAACTTTCTTCTTCTTCATAAAATGCATCAGTAGCTGTGTTTCCATTACAAATATGTGCAAGACACAATTTCACACTTCAGTTGTTTTTATTAAATAAGAAACCCAATTAAAATCAAGTGAATAAGTTTGGTCATGTGATGACTCATGTCGCTCCGTCATCTTGCTACTTCATCCTGTAGCCTTCTTTGTTTCTTCCACCATTAGTAACATCTGGCTGATGATCTTGTGACTCATGTAATGTGCAAGTGTTTCCATTTCAATCACCTCATCCTAGCGCAGCAACAATTTAGCAAAAAATTTGAGTTTTTTTCTAAATTGCCATGTTCCCATGAAGCAAATTTATTTTTGTAATTTGACCATGGAATTTGCTCAATGTAAACACGGCCAGTGTTCACGTCAACCGAAACGAGACCCAAGTTTTTGAACGGAACAGAGTTTGATTGCACATTCACACCTCCCCAAGCAAACCAGGCTTTTCTAGGGAAATGGATTGGAGGTGGATTAAAGTGGACTGAACAGAACTGGCGTGAATGTTCCCTTAGACTAACTAATTCACCAAACGGTCCTGGTTTTGGACTGTGGGAAGGTTGCACAGGTTGGACACTCAACTCAGAAACAACCCACGCTGGGATTGAAACTTGTAATACTTTTGCTGCAAGTGCTACCAAGTGCACCATAGTGCATTTATCTAAATGTGCACCACACTCTGCAGCTGTGGAAATCGTTGCAGCTCCGCGTGGGGGAGCGAATCAGTCTGAACTCACCACTCTAAGGCCCGTCGGCTTCATTTGTTTTTTCTTTCATGCCAGAGCTGATTGATTCTAATCCGCTCTCCTGTTGAGGTTATTAATAAATCGCCATCTGACTTTTGTGGCTGTGACTCCTGTTATGGTACAAGACAGAACATATTCCCCTGTGAACCGTGGCAGCGTACGCTCACTGTGGTTGTTTCGTTTTATTACACACTCCTCCTGTAGCAAAGCTGTCGTGAGTCATGATTCCTCCAGTATTGATTGAAAGCTGCTTCGCTGTAACGCTTTGCTGCTCTTCAGGATATTCTGTCAGCACTTTTTACAACCGGTTTTTAAACATACATGTGTAAATGGGAACAGGGCCAGGTGGTGAAATTATATCACTAATGATGGAGTTCAAACACAAAACCTGTTGCTGTAGTTAAGATTTATGCTGATGGATAATTGGCCAAACTGTTGGGAACGACCAGGAACATTTGATCCTAAAATAAGTGCAAAACTTTGATATGCATTTTATTTCATTCCTGACAGCATGGGAGAGTCTGCTGATGGGGAAACTGTCAGATATGCAAAAAAAAAAAAAAAAAAATCTGGGCTCCTCTGTGGAAGAGCGCGAGAAGAAGCCATTGTTGACAGAAGTTTGATTTGAAGGTTTTCCACAAGTCATGGTATTGTTGACTGCAATGTTGATCAGATGAGATTGAAATTATTCTTCAGAGCATAGTCATGTGTTAGAATGGTCCAGTTCAAGTTCTGATCTAAGTTTTAATTATGATTCTGTGGAGCCAGGGATTAGGGTCGTCCAGCTAAAAAAATTTTATTTGCGATACGATACCAATATCACAGCTTCGAGTATTGGCTGATACCGGTTTTGACCCGATATCGGCGCGAATCAGTCATGCTTTTATTACCTTTTTTGTCCTGTGAAATGTTTAAGAGAACTGTTTAATTTTGAAACTTGATATTCTCCCTTTACATAAACACTTTATATTTGTCATTATTATTATTCTCGGTTAAATTGAATCTTAAGCTGCCCATATTGCACTGTAATATGGGATTGTATTCATATTGATTGTACCTTGAGGCACTACAGATGAAAACTAACATAAATGGCTAAAATCAAACCATTTAAGAGGTTTGAATACTTTTGGGTAAACCTCAAACACCTGCTGCTGAGGCAGTATGAGCTGAGCAGACAGTCTAACAAGTTGTGTGTGACAGGCTGCTTTTAGCCTGGGAGCTAACGGCGTCACTGTGCGTCCCTGCGATGGGATGCGCTGCAGCTCTCCTGGGAAAAACCCGCGCTCCGTCGTAGGCTTCGTTCTTCCACTACATCAAACTTTGACTCTCTACAATATGAGCAGCGGTTTCTATTGACTGCCAACAGAGCCGTGGAGTGGTTCTAAACCTTTCACCAGTTTGTTTTTGCTGAGTGGGCCCGCTGCTTCTCATTATTAGGTCTATGGCTGTGTTGGTAACAACCAAACAGCTCTTCTGCTGCCAGTGCGATTTAAGAGCCAAAACACATGGAGCTATAATTGAAACTGGCAAGCTAATGAGCTGACCGTTTCTTTCTTTCTTTTTTTTTTTACTTCAGTAATTTAAGTGGATACACTCAGATGTTCACACTCAAACACCATGAGCACCGCTTGGTGTTGTTTACTCAGTCCAGCTGGTTGAGGCTTTTGAATGAGTGTGAGCGCTCCTCCGTTTGTGCTGAGCCCAACACTTTGCGCCTCACAGAGCGGGCGGGACCGGGGACTGACAGAGGGGCAGAGAGGGGGTCTGTAGTCACATTCTACACTGGGCTGGGAAAAGTCATTGTCCAAGTGGAGTGATTGATAAGGGGCTCTAATTGCTGAGGGTACAAATATAGCAGGATGCCTTGAGTGTTTACATTGCCTCAGGGGTTTGCTAATTTCATCTCCTTTTTCTCTCTGTCTCCTTATTTGTGTCTCTTCAGTCATAACCAAAGGAGCACGTCGTTCTGTCATCCTGTAACCGGACAGATTTCCTCAGAGAACGTGGACTTCCTCCTGCAGGAACAGTAAGTCAAGAGACGTGTTACTTTTCTGCACCTTGAACCAGGGGAGTGTGATATGGATTCAAAAAGTCTTAAATTTGTGTATCTAAATATAAGGCCTGAAAATGTCCTAAATGTATTTATTTTTTTTAAACTAACTCGGCCCTTAATATGTCAATCACAGGTCTTAAATTTACTCTTGGCATGACTACTTAATTGTATATTCCATGTTTTTTTTTGTCTCACAAGACTTTTTTAATTGAGTACTTAGACTAGTGCTAACTAGCCAGCTAGCTTTATGGATCAGTTTACTGGACAAAGTTCCTACGTTAAATTTATGTTTTTGAAACGCGCAGAAACTCCTTAGAGCTTTATTGTTATATTTTGTTCTACAATTTATGATGATAAAATTATTATTTGAAATGATGAACTGTGTTTTATAAAGTAACTGTTTAGCTTAGTACTTTGTTGATAGTAAAATTGTAAAAATAAAATTTCCGACAATGTCATTTTTTTTAAAACATCATTATTTGAAATTTATAGCAACAATAATAAATCAGAATTCTTATCATTTTAAGAAATGTTCATGATAAATTATACAAGATAAATGATATAATAAATACCTTGTCCGTACCTTGGACCAAAGAAATAATCTTGTAGTAACAGCTTGTTACCTTCAGTGTTTGATTTCTATATCTGCTCTCATCTATATGGGTTGAATATCAATTTTTCTTTAACTTATAACAAAAAAAGCTACACTAAATTCTGAGATCTGATCAAGGAAATCCCAGAAATCATATCTGCTTCCCTCAGTTTTTCCACAGTTCAACTTGCAGACTCATTGACTGAACTTAAAACCAAGTTCCTGTTTAAGAGGCGGCGTGAAGTTTCCCCACATGTATCTACTGTGTGAGAAGGTTCTCATACTGCTTTTCTTTCATTCCTCGGTTTCTTGTGTGAAAAAGAAAATGTTAATGTTTTTTCTCAAGGACATGCAGTGGTGTTAGGAGTGCTCTTACCGTCTGCTGATGCCTCAGCAGGAACGAGGAGAACATCGCTCCCCTCCAGTGTAGACCAGGAGTGGTGAATTACAGCGGAGCGTACTTTTAGTTAGATCTGCTTTTCCACTTTTGGAGAACTTAAAATGTGAAAGTTCTTTTTTTCTCTCTCAATGCTCAAACCAAAATCGGAGCTCACCTTCCCCTTATATCTGGAGCTAAAGGAGTCTGGGGATACCTATAACAAGACTACTTTTTATTTAGAAAGTTTTCTTTTAAATAAATAATATAGACACTTCTTCCTCAAAGAGGAAAAAATCCATGAAGAGTTCTTCAAGTCATGCTGCGGTTTATTGCATTTTGCTGCATGGTGTTGCGGTGGTTAGCACCGATGCCTTGCGGCAAGAAGGTCCTGGGTTCAAATCCCATGTGAGACTCATTCTGCATGAAATTAGCATGTTGTCTCCGTGCACATTTTGGGTTTTCGTCGCGTACTCACACTTCCTCTCAGGACTGGATCCCCAGATATAACATGTCGCAACTGTGCATCCTTCTACTGAGAATCTAGAAAATTATGTTTTAATAGTACATGTAAGATATGGCATGTGGAAACTTGCTAAGCTTAGTTTTTTTGTTGACATGTTTTTATTGCATATCAGTACACAGTAAGTGTCTCACCAGTGTTACAGAGTCAATGTAAAAGCAACACAGTGAAGTAAAGCTGGCTGTTTTTTTGCTACACTCTTGGAGTAGCAGGTGTTTTTGTCCGACTTATTGTGTCTTTATGGGTCTCAGGTTCCCTCCAGCAGTCTCAGCAGATAGAAAATTACATTAGAATAACAAAGCTTGTGGAGAAACAAGAGGTTTCACTTTAACAAACTGTAAATGTATCTGGTGTATTTTTGTCTAAAACTCGTTTTGTTCATTCAGTGAAGCTTCTCACAGTGGGTAGAGCATCCAGACATCTATTTCAACCAAGAGTGGCAATACTTCATGCTAACATCACTCAGATGGTCGGATCTTTAAGCTCATCATATATCAGCTACTTCTCATTGAAACACTGGTGAAAAACGTTGTTTAAAGGCTAATAGAGGAGCGATGCTGTGAAAGGGAGAGAGGCCCAATTTCAGCCTGTTAAATTACAAAGTCATATTTGACATGTATGGCATGCGAAAGAGACATGAACGTTCCATGACACAGCACTGTGTTCCTGGAAATCACATTATGCTGCCTCTTTAAATGTGATTCGGGTGTATCGGAGCAGAGACTCGTCTAAAATGTCCCAGTGTCTGCCCGTCGGGGACCAGAATTTTCTCCCCTTGATTCAGTCTGTCAGCTCAGTTGGCCGTTTCCATTGGCCCCAGCAATAATTACTGGCAGATATTGATCGAGAAGAGTTTCTCTTTTCTTTAAAGGTCAAACCGAAGAGCTTGTTGACCACCAGAGGATAAGACACACACAAAAGATTGAGGAGGACAAATTGGCCAACATTTGAAGTGACGATACCTGAGGGAAAACCGAAGTTGTGGGTCTTTGTTTTACTTTTGCTCTGTCCAGATTACAGAAGAGGCAGTAGAAATAAGGGCAACAGATAACAGAGCCAACAGGTGATGCTGTTTCCTGCGGCTGCAGCAGCTGTTCAAGAATAAAAAATAAAAAAAAGTTTCTTGGCTAAACGTAACTCTTATTTGGAGTTACGTTTAGAAGAGAAATACGCAACTAGGCGAATTTGTCAGTTTTGAATAGCCAACAGGTCCACCATCCTCTTAGAGTTTTGACAGGGAAGGTTTATGCACATCTTCATTTAAAAGAAAATATTCCCATTAATGCAAGTTTGCTTCATTACACGAGGAGCAACCAACTGGATAAAGGCAGCAAACGGTAAATAAATTTGAGGGGTTTAAATAAAAAGCATTAGATCATCTGCATAAAGTGAAATAAACCTGAGTTCAGATTTTCTCTGCAGGGGCAGAAGATGTTTATATTTTTCTGATTTACAATATGAGTCAAGAGAATTTAAGGTGGGAACATGCAAAATAAAAAAAATATAACAATAGAGAAAAAAAGCATTCTGAAGTACACGTGATGATGAGACGTGGTTGAGATCATGTTAAAATTTCATATCACACATTAAAATCCGTAATGGAAGTTTAAAGGACAAATCACACATTTAGTTGCTATTGAGGTGAAAACTGGGAGAAAAAACAGAAATCACAGGAAAATCAGTATTCTCTGATCAATATTAAAGTCAGATTATCTATGTTGTCATTAAAGTATGAAGGATTTTATATTCCAGACTGACACAGATTTCTTAGAAGGAGTAACTTCTGAAATTATAAACCAGTCTCCTTGTGCTGAGCTGTGAATTCATGTATTCATGACCCAGAGAATGAAATCCTACTAACAAATCACTGAATTATTTAAACTGGATCCAGGTTAAAATGCTGCCTATCAATAAATAGCTAAACTGACAGAGGACATTGATTTCCTTTATGTCCAGCTCCGCTCTACATTATAATCTCATTTGCTGCAGAGTTCAGAATAACTTCCTTTTCCTTAGTAATGAACAGTTTTAATTGCTGTTTCTGGGCGTGTCATGAATATTTAATGACCTGCTCTCCTGTGGGAGCTCTGCTCTCGGGTTTTGCAAATATCGATGCTTCTGTGATTAAATTAGCTGCTTTCAGCCCATTAGACCTCTGCAGGCTCATACAGATCTTAGTTACAATTATCTTTTTATGATTTTTATAAGTGGATAACTGGATAAAGTTAAATCAGATTTTCTTTTTCCCTTTTTTTTTTTTTTTTACAGTTCTAAACACATATTTCCTTTCTTTCATTTGGAGAACTGCTGATGTGTGACAGAATGACTGTGGACCCGGTACGGACCCGGATGAAAATGATCAGTGTTATCTCAGCTTTGTTAAAATCTGTTGAAAATATGCACAAATTTTAATATAGGCCTGAAGATATTTCAACCAACAAAAATGTTTTCATCTTTATTATTACTACCAGTTGCAGTAGCTGTGCAGCTACAATATTAAATATGAAGAAATATATGAATATCAACATTAATCATGTTTTTATGAATATAGCCAAACAGAAACGCAGCGCCATGCTGAATATTCTCAAACATCCAGTTGAAAGTCACCCTCTCTTTACTACAGAGGGTGATTGGCAGCGCTAAGACCCGCCCCTTGGCTCTGATTGGCTGTTTTTAGTTCACACTGGGAAAAGGAAGGAGCGCTTGTTTTTATTTAATTTTTTTCATAGATTTTCTGTCTCATAAAATACATGTCATGGTGACAGTTTCAACAAATATGCAAAAAAGCCCCCAGTTTTGTAAAAGTTGCATACTGTAGCTTTAAATAACCGTCCTGTAGTTAGAAATGAAACGAGTTAAAGAAGCAGCTGCGTAATAGCACCACTGTCAGCTTGTCGTGTTGTAATGTTTGATTACACGCATGCAGGTGAACCATCTGTCATGGCTGATCGTTATGTAAACGCATCAGAGCCAAATTCAGTCACTAATTCAGGGAAGATCAATTAATCAGGCCTTTGCAGCAGCAGATCTGATTAAGGGCCGCATCAACATGTAATCAAGTGTCATTAAACAGACACAGTCTCTTCTTCATTTAATCCTCTTTCTCCACCATTCCATCACTTTTCATTTCCTTTCTCCATCTTTCATCCATCCTGCATGATCATAATTTAGCTTCTGTTTCCCTTTATGCCTCTGTGGCTTTTTGTTTGAATTTGCATTTTTTTGTTCACATGAATGCTGGAGTTATTGCTTTCAGAATTTTAACTCTTATTTTTAATTACCTAGAAATCAGCGCAGCTAGCTTTTTGTAAACACAGCCTTTATTGGTTCCACATTAATCCAATCTTTAAAGATGAATCACAGAATGTTGTTGCCAGCTATTGTAGCATATTAAAGCTGAACTACTAATTCTGGCACTTTTAAAGAAAAGACTAAAAAATAAATAAAAATTGTTTTTCTTATTACAATTTTAAGGTCTAGAC